TCTTCCCCAAATCAGAAACCCTAATTTTCCTTCCACCAGCACGGTGTCGTGCACCACACTCAGGCCATCATCTTCTCCACGTCGTCGGACCACTTTGAATGCCGAAAAAACTCGAGCAACTGCACAAGCCACCACGAATCAATCAAGAAACCCAATCTGCAAAAGAAACCTTCAACTACAACGAATCAAACCTAAATCGTTATGCACCATGAGAACCACCATCAACATCTCACCATCTTGATCTTCCTCATCGCGAACTAGAGAACTACAACTTCACGAGAACTTGCAAAGTCAAACCCAAAAGTCACAAAACCATTGAACCTGCAGAAAACCCAGAATTCCCAAATATGCTTCGAACATCAAACTTAGTTCACGCAATAATCACAAATTTTTTGAACTAAACCCTAACTTATACAAATCTCATTCACCCCTAAATCGAAATAAACATCCTTCATCGCAATAGGTTGTGCAACCTTCACCATCTTTCTCATGCACTATCATAAACACAAATCGCAAAACCCCAATTCGCGATGAACTCCTAATTCGCGAAATCGCGCCTTCCGTGAAAACCTGCAATCCCAAATTGCACCACTATTGAACTTGTTCAACCTCCATTGATGATGCAAAATCATCTGCAAGGAGCGAAACCCCCAAATCGCTTTCCATTAAATCACAAAAAACCTACAAAAGTCAGAATCAACCACAACTTAAAGAAATTAGGGTTTTTTATTTGGGAAAGATGGTGATGATGTGGTGAGATGATGATGTGAGTCACCCACTGTGAGCACTATTGTGTGACAACACATTTTGTTTTTCTTACGTGGATTATACGCCATTAGCAATTTAGACACCGTTATCGAAAATGACTAAATTAAACAAATTTTACAAAAAGAAGGACCACTTTGAATGCCGAAAAAAACTCGAGAACCACTATAAACAAAAGTAATGAATATAGGGATCAAAATAGATATTAAGCAAAAAAAGGTTAAACCCTTTTCGAAGTCCCTATTTATATGGGTTTGTCCTAGTTAGAACCCCGTCTTATCAATTTCGCCAATTTAGTCATTTTTAATGAAAATTTGACTCAATTGGGCCCCTACCGTTAAATTGGCTTAACGGGGTTAAGTTTTTGGTGACCTAGGATGTTTAGGTGACCAATTTTTTAAACGTGGCATTCACAAACCTTTATACGTGGCATTTCATAAAAGAAACATTTTAAAAATAGGGTTTCTGAATGGATTTTAAAACTTGGCATATGTAGATGGTGTAAACATGAGAATTTAGGGATTTAGGATTCGTTGTTCTTGAAGATTGGAAAGCACATGGAGGTTCAAAAGAGGGAAGTAGGAAAGTGCAAGACGCAACAATGTCTATGGGGTTAAAATTGGGATTAAAAATCATCATGGGCAATGTCGCTGTGTTACTCGTTGTGGTTTCTCTCTCCCCCTTCGTGTTAATGTCCCTCATCGAAATCCCCATGATTAAACCCCATAGGTGGGTTAGCTTGGGTCAGAAGGGGGTTAAGAAAGATTGGAACTTGTTCTTCAACATGCTCTTCTGGAACCTCAACTTCTGGGACAATGTCAATACCTTAGTCGGAGAAGTTGATAAACCGAACAAGACTTTCCCTTTGGCTCTTTTTTGTTGCAGTCCTTTTCACCTGCATCTCCTACTTGATCCCTCTCTTCGCTGTCATTGGAGGAGTATCGGTTGACTAGAGCCAATGGGAAATTGGGTTCCACGCGTAGGCTGCGGAAATTATTGCAGGGAAGTGGTTGAAAATCTGGATTGAAGTCGGGGTAGTGTTATCGACATTTGGTCTTTTCGAGGCCCAGTTGAGCATCAACGCATACTAGGTTCTGGGCATGGCGGAGATCGGGATTCTATCCAAGTTTTTCGGAGTTAGGTCAAAGTGGTTCAACACACCTTAGTTGGGGATTCTGTTATCGACTTTGATATCTATTGGTGTGTCTTACATGGACTTCACCGACATCATTTCTTCGACGAATTTGTTGTACAGTTTGGGGATATTGTTGGAGTTTGCATCGTTTCTTTGGCTGAGGTGGAAGTCGCCCTCCATTGAAAGGCTTTACCGTGTTCCTCTAAAGCTGCCACGGTTGGCAGTGATGTGCTTCATACCCTCTGGTTTTCTGGTTTTCATAATGGTCATTGCTATTAAAACTGTTTATTTGGTGAGTGGTGTCATGAGTGTAGCTGAAATTGGGTTTTTCTTGTTCATAAAACTCTGTAAGGTTGCGATACACTATCTTCTTAGATTTTTAATCCCAATTTCAATTTCAATTTCAATGAACCCTAAATCCCAATTTTAATCTGCAAGCGCAATACTATTTTTAAAATGTTTCTTTTATGAAATGCCACATACAAAGGTCTGAGAATGTCACGTTTAAAAAATGGCCACGTCAATGTCTCACTTAATAAAAAACTTAACCTCGTTAAGCTAATTTAACGGCAAGAGCTCAATTGTCTCAATTTTTCATTTTTTAGGATTAAATTGGGGAATCCAATAAAACATGAATCTAATTGAAAAAAAAAACCCACATAGATGGGACTTCCAAAGGAGTTTAACAAAAAGAAATATATATCTAAACATGAGATATTATAATAAGTTATTTAAAGTTTATTACCATTGTTCACTTACATGCTTTGGATCTCTATTCTTAAGAGAGGAAGAGAACAAATGCTCCTAAGTATTTTTTAAAGAAAAGTTTAATATGTTTAAAATCTCTTTTATTTAAGCCTTTTTTATTTTTTTTTTAATTTTGATATTATAAATGTTTAAATATTATCCCTACCACATATAATGGATAATATGCATACCTATTTAGATGCATGTCACGTTATTATTAAATGGTGATGGATATTTTGTTTTTTGAAAAAAACAAATATAAAGACTATAATTATCATATCTTTCTAAAGACAAAAACTAAATTGTAAAAATTATAATCACATTTAACTCTTTGAATAGTTCTCATGTACACAATACTTTTTACAAAACTTACTATATCATTTTTCTATATATTTATTTATCTATCATATTAATCATCTTACCTCAATTTTTTTTTCTCTTTTCTCTACTTTAACTCGTTGAATTAAACAAATAAAGTAGTTAAAAACATACACAGACAACCTTATTTTAAGGATTTGCAAATAATAAATCTAGGCCGTACAACAATATAAACGGTAAAACTTAAAAGTTAGTAGTTACACGGTTAAAAAGCTCCTGTGTGCTCACCTTTTATTTTGATGTTTACATACAATTTAACTATTTTTATTGTTCATAGTAAAGACAAATCCTTACTTAATTATAATTCTTCTATTTTATAATTTAACAATACATAATATTAAAATTAATATACTAAACCTACAAATTTTATAATATCGTCTTGTCTCGAGCTGTGTTTAATCAAATTGAATAAAAAAATTGAGGGAAACAATAAGATAAAATTCATTTTCAACCTCTTTTAATATAATTTATGTTTTCAGATTTTTTTTTTCTTTCTCTATTGAAGGAATAAAGGCTTTATACGAAGTCCTCGTTCAAAACAGCCCAATCGTCCGTTAAAAGGCCCAGAGAATTTGCTGGCTCACCAACACTCTACATTGCTTCCTGCACCCCATGTTTTCTTCCTATAGATATTATGAAACGACCATTTTATCCATAATGAAAAAATTAATGAAAACCTAAATTATTTATTAATATGGAAATAATAAATTTATTATTTTTGAATGCATTCCAGATCAATTTAGAATATAATTCCAAATTAAAAATATATTTTGGAATGCATAATCTCTGTAATATATTTCAAAAGTTATTACATTCTGGATTATATAATTCAGAATGCATTTTTATATAAGTAAATACATTCAGAATTATACAATCTAAAATATATTATGCAAATTTATGCAAATTCATTCCAAGTTCTTGAAAGCTTTCAGAAAATTGTAATCCAGAAGTCACAACTACAAAGGGGAAATGGTCATTTTAAAAAATGTAAGGGTGCATGAAGAAATAGTTGGGTGCTGGAAGTAAAAAGCGTTTCTAATTTAATAACCGTATTTACTTTTATAAACGTTTAAATGTTTTCTTTTAGTTGTATTAAACGTTTAAATTCTCTGTAAATACGTTTCATTCTAAATATCCAAAAATATCAATTTATAATACATGTTTATGATCAACGTTCAAACATTCTCAAAACACCACCACCGATGTCAACAACATAAAAAGTTGTGGATCGAAAAGCCTACTAAATCAAAGGTTGTGGGTCATGAATGTTGAAATCAGTGTTCAAGTAAACCCCACGAAATGCTTCATAATGACAGCATTTGGTAGAAATATTGATTTCATTTCAAGAGAAATTCAGTGCATTCAATTTTGTTTTTCATCCAAAGTTATGTACCCAGATCAAAGCAATCAGGTTTAAAGCACTTTGCTTGTTTAATGTCTGCTCATAATTAGAAAAGACAAGAAACCTAGTTCTTATAGAGAAAAGAGATCATCAGAGACAAATGGTATATTACCATATACAATTTATTTGCCTTGGTCATGATCTCCTAACAGTTGTCATGTTAGGAAACAAGATATTAACAGTACGGGAATGCTGTATATTTTACATTTAAGTGCAAATTTCTTTTGTGATTCTGAATGTAATACATGATAAGTGTCCTTACACAATGCTTTTTGGAATATAATGAACTTTAAAGAAACCTGAGGATTTCATCACAACCTCCACCAAAAGGAAAAAGCTAAAGCTTTAAGTGTACACATGCACTAGCTTTAACCTCTTAGTTTGCCAAATCCAATGGATGCTTCCAGGTTCCAAAGCAATATTCTTGTATCAGACATGAATTTTGTTATGGGTTTTCAATCAGACAAAAAAACCAGTAAACACTCCAGAATATACGTTGCCGAAGAAGATGCCAACCAACCAAAATAATAACACTAATAATCTAAAGTCCTAAAAGTAAAATAAGCACCAAAATCAAGGGCCAGAAGCTCCTGAAGACCCAGCAACATCCTCTAATCTTAATGTTATTGGTACTTCTTCAATCCCTTTACCTTTATCTGCTGAGCCTTCCACAGCTTTGTTCAATCTTTTCAACCATATATCATAGTCAACAGGGTATGGAGTTCCACAAAGGCTATCCACATAATCAGCAAATGCTTTCAAGAGAGCAGAAACATGACCAATATGCTGCTGGATCAAACGCTTTGCCCAGCTTCTCTCTCTCCATTGTAGAGCAGATTCAATAGAATCTTGTAGAGACATAGTCCCTCCACAAATAAAATACAGGATGTACACAATGCTTTCAGCATCAGAAGAAGGACACAGCTTCCCATGCTGAAGTGCATGAGATGATGAGAATTGCAAATTTATTGCTGGGCTGTCCCTATCTTCCAGCACGGCACGCCCCCAAGATATGGGAACATACATGCTACCTTTGTTTCTAACACCTTGTTTTTCGACAACACGTATTATGTTTTCAGGACAAATATCACCATGCTGCACATTAGCCATGGCTGCACTTCTTAGAGCAGCTAGACAATCCCGGCACAGGCGTGTCGCTTCATCTGCAGAAAATGACCCCTCATTAGCAGCCACAGATGATAGTGGCTCCCCTCTTGGAGATGTCACCAGTATTGGAGTTCCACACCAAGGGTGATCACACCTTCCCCCAGGGCTCTCTTTATTGCATGCTCCAGAATGTAAAATCCTACCAGAAGCAACAATCTCAGGTAAGTACTTGCTCAGGATTCCCTGATTCCTCAAAATGTTTAGAACCTTTGTTTGGCGTTGCACTTGGTACCAGAGGCTCATATCCTCCAAAGAAGGTTCAAGTCTAGATGGGTGAGCACCCACGTATAAAGTCAATAACTGTGAGGGATGATCAAGACAGACTGCACTGTAGAGTTAATAGTTCCCTCCCACAAGAGATTCATGAATTTGGAAGCTTTTCTGTCCCTGCTGTGGATCATCCAAGACCAATATGTCTCCACACCTGAGCTTCAGGCGTGATGATTGGCCATTGGAAAATAGTTCATTTTGATCAAGCTCAACAATCTCTCCAGCTTGATAATCAGTTGTCGCATGATAAGGAACCAGTGCATTTTCAGTGTCAATGAGGCAGCATTCTGTCCTCCGCTTCTGAAGGCGGAGGCTATGATCTGAAATCAACGAAGCTACTGATTTTCGTGGTGGTCCATTCCATTGTGCCATGGAGTAGAAAGTTGCCAATAGTACCTGTAGAGTTCCTATATCCCCCCAGTTTGGATTTCCTAACCGGTTCCATATTGGTTCCACTGGGGTGATGCCAATTTCAGCATAAGTTTTGATCCATTCAGCTACGGATAAATATGGGTCGCTTGAATTCAATAAATCCAGTTTGCCAAGGTCACCACTGAACTTCATCACTGCTCCACATTTGGAATCTAAAACTAGAAGGAAAACAGAGTCACTGTTGACAGAACTAATCTTGCTCAAACTCCGAGATACAAGAATATGGAAACCATAAAAGAGAGCTTCACAAACGATGCTGACTGATAGTCTTGAATCGTTGTCCAAGAAGACTTCTGGCTTGAATAAGGCAAACTCTACCATATGATCCCATTTAAATCTTGAATCAGTGACAGTTTTTGATATTAAAGCCAAACCACGCATTTCCCTCACCCTGCCCCTGGATATTGCCTTTTCAACACTACTGAACTTCGAACCAATATGAGACGGGCAAGAGACACGTAATGGTAGTGGTCCACTTTTATGCCAAAATGTACGCCAAAGTCCAATGATAATGGCATGAAGGAAATCTTCTGCTGCTAAATACTGATCTTCCCTAAGCTCATCAGAAATGTCAGAGAAGATTGGCATACGGACAAGTTGCTGAAATGGAACCCCCTCTATTGCCAAATCAAGTTTGCACAGTTCATCAGTTGTGAAAGGAGAACAAAAACCCTGAATCCCATCTGCTGAATCACCATTTAGATTCTCCAAGACCCACTCCTCAAGATATTGAGTGAATAACTCCAGATCAACCAGTTTCCTTCCACATTCCTTCAGCCCCTTCAACACTCTTCTTGAAATAGGAAGAATTTTGTTCAATCCTGAGGTCCCCGAGATAGTACTAGCAGAAATAACTGCCATTAAGAAACCATATCAGCAACATTTTGCTCCATGAACCATTTGAATGATACTAACATTAGATGCATTACGGTGTGTAAAAACACAAGGATAATGGCATTATTCAATTTTTAGAGTAGAACAATTTCACAGCTTGTGTATATCATAAAAACCAATTCCATACACATTTGTCTAAACATTATAAAAATGTGAGAGGTTAAAGCATTGGAAAGTCAGTAAATAACCACAAGTGTAGAGACATGAAAAACAAAGGAAGCGATGAATACAAACCAGAGCTGGACTTCCTGAAACTTCCATCCAGGCTTTTTCCAGGAGATAAATCCGATCCATTTTGCAGAAATCCTGATTTGCATAATTAATACAGTTAAGCATTAGAAAAAAATCTTTAACATGGATGTCCTGATCAAATAAATAATTTAGCATTTTCTCTTCAAATATAAATGCAGTTATATTTTCTTTATCCTTTTCTCTTTCTGGCTTCAATTCTCTCCTCTCCCAACTAATTTGTTTTTATCATTAATTTTATACAAAAGAGAGTTATCTTCAACGACAAACCAAAAACAACCCAGGTGAGGCTGTAAGTGAAAGTAAGGCTGCACGAGCAATTTCACAACAATAAACATTTATTTATTTATTTGAATTCATGAACTATTTTGCCAGTAGAATGAAAGGATCACGTTATTCAAATGCCAGGTATATAAAAAGAGAGAAAAGAAGCTCTGATCAATCACATGATTAGCAGGAACTAGGTCCCTTTGGTTACCTAAAAATGAAATTGTTTTTAGTGATATAGAGCTCTAGACCATAATTTACTTGGATGGATAAAAGTAGACCTTGGAAATGAACTAAAGCTGCAAGATCTGGATCCTATTGCTCCCATGAACGGGCTTCTGATCCTATTTTAAGATACCCATTATAGAAGAGTTGGTATTTGTTTCAATTCTTGTGGAAACAACACTGCACTCACAATTTTATTGCTTGATACGACCAGAATACTTTCCTTGATTGAAGAAAAATCTTAATTTTACAACAATCTTCACAAAAAATTTTAGATATAATATACACTCAGTTGGAAAAGCTGTAGAATATATTAAGCGGCCAAAAATAAAAAAATAGTAGAGAAAAAGTAAGAAAGTGGCTTTAAACTCCAGCAGCAACTAGTAACTGAATGACGCTGCAATCAGTAGTTTAGCACATGAAAAGATAAGGGATGTATAAATGTCATGCGAGTGAATTTCATCTTGAGTTCACTGAAATTATTTTTTACAAATCCAACCAAAGATGCCGTGGCTTAAGTACACATAGCACAAACTCTAATCCCTTATGGCAAATATGCAGGAGAGCCTTTTCATTGATTAGAAGCCAATTTTTACAGAGTAAAACACCGGTTTTACTTTTTAGTACTCATATTCTATAGCGATAGTTAGTGTACACTTTGTTGTTGTCAATTGTGATCTTTCTTTTTTGTATTGGTTCGTAATTCACATGTACAAAATATTCGTCACGCAACAACGCTATCTCACAAAAGACAAACAAAAGGGTAAAATTTTCACACTGCCATTACAAGAATGAAAATCCGAGAAGTTGTCACAATAGTAATTCGAGAAAATAGAAGACATGTGTTGAAAAACAAAACATATCAGACGAGTCACAAAAGAACAAGAGCATTCTTCCATTCCAGATTCAGACTGGTGCGGATTATCATACCCATCACATAATTTTACAATGCAAGTCGCATTTGGAAGGCATGTCAACCCTTGAAAGAATAACACAACGAAAATCACAAAACAATTACTTAATCTAGTTAACAAAGAAGAGGAAAGAGAATACACTGTAAACAACCCCCATTGAAAAAAACAAACATTCCAAATAAAAAAAAAAGCACAAAAACTAAGACGAAAGTGAAAGTCACCTAATTGCATCGCGACCCAAAAGCTGAAAACTCTCACGGACAAGATTCCAAGATATCCTTAAACCTGGAAGCCCACATTGCTCAACCCACAAGAGGAAGTGAATGTGGAGGGTGACAGGCAGGGACATTAAAGCCAGAAGGTAAACATGAACAACAACAAGAACAAAATGGGACGACACCGAAAGTGAAAACGACCAACGTGGTAGTAGATCTCAACAAGGCATTATTATTAACGAGGGAAAGCAAGGCGCAAGGTGTCATCTTGCAGTAAAAGCCAAATGAAAAAAGACACCCAGATGGTGTTTCGGTTCTCTAGGGGGAAAGGGTAGAAGAAAAAAAGTGAAAGTTTTGTTTTGGGTGTTTGTGGTTACATGGTTAGAAGTTGGAAACATGAGACACTGTTACGGAAGCAGACATTGTAGGAGAAAGAGGAGAAAGGAGAGGAGAGGAGGAAAAGTGAAAAAATATTGAGGCGGAAGCAGAAGCAAAGCAGCAGCATTAGGAGGAACAGGATTTGAAGCTATAAATAAAAAAGCTGCGGAAAACCCAATGACCTTGTCTCCAACCCATAGGCCATAGCTCTTTCTTGGCAGTTGGTCCCATTGATAATGATGTCTCACATTTTCGAATTTTTCTTCATCCACCTTCCAATCCTCTAGCGCGTGTTTCCAAACTCCTCACCTTCTACTAACAGACTATTTGTCTCTTCGCTCTTACCTTAACTCACATTTAATTTTATCTTTAAACATTGATTTAGACTTTATTATTACTTAACTTTTATATTAACAACCAATGTTATTCAATCACTTTACATTACATCACTTAATTAAAATACTAATTATTTTTTAGAAATTTATCAAAATGTTATATTTTTAATTAATTTTAAAAATGCATATTACATACAAATGCTTTTTCAAAATTACAAATTTAAAATTTAAGATAAAAGTTTTGAAAGAAATAAGTTGACCTGACATGATCTTAAATATGAAGAAGAAAACCTTATACAAAATTCCAAGTCTTTTTCACGGCATTATTTTTTTTCCTTTTTGATTTATTATTAAAATAATTAGGCATTATTAAAATAACAAATTTCAAGCGATGATAAAATATGGGTTAGAAAATTTATGTTTGAATGTTTTTTAAGGGCTCTGTGAATTTTAGTTTGGTAAATTGAAACATGGTTTTATCTCGTTTATAATCAGGTTCTTTCAATATTATTTCATCAAATATTCAAGTCCTTAATTCCTTCGTAGTGAAAATGAAATCTTTTTTGTCATTTATTATTAGGGTTAAATATGTTTTTAGTCCCTAAACTATTGGCCGTTTCTGGTTTTCGTCCCTCTTCCAAAGTAAGGTACAATTTGGTCCTCATTCTTTAGAAAAACGTTCGTTTTAGTCCTCAAAATTTTGTTTTTAGTCCTCGTTTTAATCCTCAAAACGTTCGTTTTTTCGACTAAAACGAACGTTTTTTAAAGATTGAGGACTAAATTGTACCTTACTTTGGAAGAGGGACGAAAACCAGAAACGGTCAATAGTTTAGGGACTAAAAACATATTTAACCCTTATTATTATCATAAAAAATATTAATTTACTAATAAGTATCATTAATAACAATTAAGTTAATATCAATATAATTTTTAAGTGACAGACAATGCCACAGAACAAATACTTAAGTCAGATTCCAACTTCTTCTTGATTACATTTTAGTTCTAACACATCACTGTTATATGATTTTGAATTTTCATATTTTTAATGCAGTGGTATGATTGCA